AATGGTTAACGGAGATGACATCCGCCTGACTTTCCTCTTCTTGAGACCTGTCGCCATGGTCCTTATACTTCTGCTCTGCGTCCCGTCAGAACCAAGGTCCAAGTAGCAACCCCTGGGGTACCGGTCTTTGACCGTTGAAGTCCACTGGTCATCTGTCGTTCATGGAAATGTGGCCGTACCCGTTGTCTTTGCTTTTCTTACTTTTAAGACTGCTACAAAGTCTGTCATTGCCTTAAATGCGGAGTTGCTCAGTCGGCAAAGAGGTGTTGGGTTCGAGCCCCAGTCGACCGGTCGCCTTTCTTCCGTATGAGGTAGATAAATCGATGTCATTCTGTAGCAATGAAACAGCGAACGGTACCCCATGCTTGTCACAAAGCTATAACATCTAACCTTAATGAAGTGGAAATGGAAACGGAATGAGCATATGGCATGGAAATGAAAATGAACGCCGCATCATAAGCTTTATGAAATGAAGGGCGCCAAATTGAAGGGAAATTTTTCCAACGCAACAAATTTCAATGTTTATGGCTCCTGTGCCCAAAGCCGAGTAGTTAGAATAAAATAACGAAGTATCCTTCGTCACCCGTAAGCTATTTGCAGCGAACGAACGTCAGAATATTTGTATCTTTGATTTGAGATTAAAAAATGACATTTCAGAAATATTTCTCGGTATGCTTTGGCTGGATTAAGATTTTCAGGTCTGTGACAGATTCCCGCCGCGAATTCGAAATACGGCGGCGGCCATCTTACCTCTTTGATGTTTAATTTTGCTTGGTACTTGGCCAAATGCTTCTGAATTTCTTTAACAACATCTTGCGTCGATGGTGATCATACATTTTCAGCGAAAGTTGCCAGTTTCAGGACCAGTTACGACAACGCCGCCAGTATCTATTGAGAAGGAAACCATGCCAGACACAAAAGCGTGCTTGAAGCTGTTGTCGAAGTTGAAGGAGCAGAAGAAAACGCCCGAGGGCCAGGTGCACCCGCAGTGTTCGAAAACC